GCTCCCGAATTGAGGTTATTATTTCCGCTGTGGTTCTCTTAGATTCCATTTATAATAGTTACCCTTACAAAATTATTTGTTCAAATGCTGTACAGGTTTTCTCAATATATAAGATAAATACTATAATCTTAAATAACAATAATAATAATACTTATGTACTTAACATTTTACGTAACCGTGCTTAGCTTGACCTGTGCTTGACCTCGCCATAAAAAATATAAACAATGTCACAGTTTTAAGTAATAGATTCCAATTTCTGGTTACGTTGTTGACCCGGTAGCAGGCACTGTGTTGGTCTGATCGTAGATGCAGAGGCGCTCCGGTCGTAGGTACAGGGACGATCTGGTCGTAGGTGCAGTGATGATCTGGTGGTGGCACGGTGATGATCTGGTCCTAGGTGATTTGCTTCGTGTCAAGGACAGCGGGACACAGCAGAGAGCGGTGTACAGCATCCAGCGACACACAGTAATCAGCGACACACTGAAATTAGCTAGACACAGCAACCAGGGGAACAACAATTGTGTACAGCAATCAGCGGTGAATAGCCACCACAATGTACAACAGCGGTGTACAGACTCAACGGGGTATGTCAGCAGGGGTGCACAGCGATTGGCGGTGTAAAGCCCAGTGGATTACAACAATCATTGGGTCACAGCATTGGACGGGTGCTCCAGCTGGGACACGCAACTTCGGACATATGGACAAGGATATTTCACACAGCAGACGTATCGATACTTCACAGCCTTGTACAGGTTGATACATCACAGTGTCGGACGGGGGGGGGGGGGGGGTATAACTTCACAGCGTTGGATTAGTTGGGGGGGGGTTGATACTTCAAAACTTTTGATTCGTTCGGACGGGAATAATACTTCACAGCTTCAAACAGGATGGTTCTTTCCCGTTCGGGCCCCCAAACATATCGACAAGCATATTTCACACAGCAGACGTATCGATACTTCACAGCCTTGTACAGGTTGATACATCACAGTGTCGGACGGGGGGGGGGGTGGTATAACTTCACAGCGTTGGATTAGTTCGGACGAGGTTGATACTTCACAACTTTTGATTCGTTCGGACGAGAATAATACTTCACAGCTTCAGACAGGATGGTTCTATCCCGTACGGGCCCCCAAATGACGAGCTGTAGAGCCTGTTGTGTCGTGTTCATCCACTCATGGTGGACATCTACTTGCGTCTAGTTGTTTGGGTCAAGTCTTTCACTCGATCCCACGAGACAGTATATCTAATAGCAACAGCTACCAATACAACAAACACTTATCGGTTTGTTGCAAGATATGAATTTATTTAACAATTCCCTAAATATAGTTTTTATATAATTAAAGATTAATAATTAAATCGTTTCAGCCTAACACTCCGCAACACAAGTCCAAACCGTCAATATAGTATATCCGCCATCTATCCACCATAAATTGGTCACAACACTCTCACAAAATCGATACAGCTACACATGAAATCTCTAAACTAAACACATTTTCCCTAACACACATAGCAACAGTGAACTACACTTAACAACAATGATTCTCTTACCCTTGACACTAACAAATACAGAGAGGCAAATATTGTGTGCTAACAAATACAGAGAGGCGGATACGGTGGGCTAAAAATACTGAGAGGCGAATACGGTGGGCTAACAAATACAGAGAGGCGAATATGGAGGGCTAACAAATACAGAGAGGCGAATATGGTTATATGTTATCATAGCACGACAACAGACATTACCTAGCAGTTATAGACAGCTTTAAACTAGAACATATATTACTAATTTAATAAACACTTACTATACACTACATACAGCCTAAATTTACCTGAATAGAGGTTAAGCTATCTTAGTTTTCCGTCACCATATCAAGTGCCTATCATGTGTTGTTTTTTATCAACGCTCAACACGTCACGTGCAGACGGAACCAGCTGTACGCAGAATCTGTATCTCAGCTGGCGGCAGGGGTTGGCAGGCCGCATCTTCACTTGGATGACAGACGTATCAGATGACAAGTCTGCTGAGCCGCCGCAGCGATCTTGTAGCCGATTTATTACCCTAGTTAACTTATTAAAATGTAACGTTGTAAGCCTCTGGTCAACCTGTACCTTGGCGCACGGGGACATATGTACCCCTGACCCCTTAGCTACGCCTCTGCCTGAGAGAGAACATTCCTGAAGGTGATCGCTCAGAGAACATTCCTAAAGTTGATCGCTGTGAGAACATTCCTAAAGTTGATCGCTGTGAGAACATTCCTAAAGGTGATCGCTGTGAGAACATCCCTAAAGGTGATCGCTCAGAGAACATTCCTAAAGGTGATCGCTCAGAGAACATTCCTAAAGGTGATCGCTCAGAGAACATTCCTAAAGGTGATCGCTCAGAGAACATTCCTAAAGGTGATCGCTCAGAGAACATTCCTAAAGTTGATCGCTGTGAGAACATTCCTAAAGGTGATCGCTGTGAGAACATTCCTAAAGGTGATCGCTGTGAGAACATTCCTAAAGGTGATCGCCCAGAGAACATTCCTAAAGGTTATCACTCAGAGAACATTCCTAAAGGTGATCGCTCAGAGAACATCCCAAAAGGTGATCACCCAGAGAACATTCCAAAAGGTGATCACTCAGAGAACATTCCTAAAGGTGATCACTCAGAGAACATTCCAAAGGTGATCGCTCAGAGAACATCCCTAAAGGTGATCACTCAGAGAACATTCCTAAAGGTGATCGCCCAGAGAACATTCCTAAAGGTGATCAACCAGAGAACATTCCTAAAGGTGATCGCTCTGAGAACATTCCTAAAGGTGATCGCTCTGAGAACATTCCTAAAGGTGATCGCCCAGAGAACATTCCTAAAGGTGATCGCTTTGAGAACATTCCTAAAGGTGATCGCTATGAGAAAATTCCTAAAGGTGATCGCCCAGAGAACATTCCTAAAGGTGATCACTCAGAGAACATCCCTAAAGGTGATCGCTCAGAGAACATCCCTAAAGGTGATCACTCAGAGAACATTCCTAAAGGTGATCGCCCAGAGAACATTCCTAAAGGTAATCGACCAGAGAACATTCCTAAAGTTGATCGCTGTGAGAACATTCCTAAAGGTGATCACTCAGAGAACATTCCTAAAGGTGATCGCTCAGAGAGCATTCCTAAAGGTGATCACTCAGAGAACATTCCTAAAGGTGATCACTCAGAGAACATTCCTAAAGATGATCACTCAGAGAACATTCCTAAAGGTGATCACTCAGAGAACATCCCTAAAGGTGATCGCTCAGAGAACATTCCTAAAGGTGATCACTCAGAGAACATTCCTACAGGTGATTGCTAAGATGGTCTTCGACAACATCTAAGGCGTGTTTCATAACCAATTATTATTTTTGTTAATTCACACTTTTTAAAAAAGTGTGGTTTCATTACATTTTAAAAGATGTCTTGTTTCTGGTTTAACAAGTAATGTTGTTCTCACTTGTTAATTCATGATTCTATTGAAACAATTTTTGTAGCTATTGCTTGTAAATTATTATCGATTGAACGCTGTCATGTGCGCATCACAATCGACGTTTATTTTATTTTGTGTAAGCACGACGGCCATGTTCTCTGTGACCGTAAAACCTTTCTTATCTTGACGTATGTCTTAACGTGTTTGATAGGAAAATGTCAATATGGAGAGCAAATGTGTGATACATACACCTGGCTGGTGAACTGATCTTTAACAGATTCACACAAAAATAAAACACTTCCTTTTCTCGTCACAAGAGTCCAATCTAGATTTTCGTAATTTACTTTCATAAATGGGAAAAATTATCAACTACAGAAATCGGTTTTGTCTTTTCCAAGTCCGGAAAACGTCACATTCCATTAAGTAATGTTACTATTTTTAGACAATGTTTCGTAAAATATAGCTTCTAACAATGTATTTCCGCATATACAGGGTGGGCCAATAAAAGTTAGAACATCTCTTAGCATATGAGTTATTTCAAAATTATATAATTTAATTAATTATAATTCTTTATTGAATTTTTTTTGCTAAATATTTAGCTAACCAAAAATCATGTTCAGTGTGTCCTCCTTGCTTCTCAACGACTTTTTCCAAGCGTCGACGCCACTCGTTTATGCTTCTGTCAATGAAAAGTTGCCCTAGATTTCGCCATTCCTCGATTATTGCCAACTTGAGCTGTTCAACAGTGGTAAATTTTCGCCGAAAGTAGACTTTTTCTTGCAAAGCACCCCATATGGCATAATCTACTGGGTTTAAATCTGGGCTGTTCGGTGGCCACATGTCTGACTCGATGAAGTGAATATTCTACCGACGAAGAAAGTTGATTGTAGTTCTGGCTGTGTGAGATGGAGCTCCACCCTGCTGCAAATGTCCAAGTTATGGCGACCACATTTCGCTTGAATGTCAGGCAACAATCGCCTTCTGAGAACTTGTTCACAATAATATTCACTGTATACTTAGGCGCCTGGTTCAACGAACACAACACTAGTTTCTCCCATTCGAGACACACCGGCTGACACCATGATACCGCGGCTGAAATGGTTACGCTCTTGTATAAGTCGCCTTTCTTGAACCTGTTTTTTTCTTTGTTGCAACGGAATAAACACGATCATTTTGAGAATTACCTGGCGTGGCAACGGTGAATGTCTTTTCTTCTGTAAACCAGATGCTTCGTACACCTCTCTCATGATTAAATCGTTCAAGTAGCTGCCGACTGCGTTGCAAGCGTTTCAACTTGCCATTTTCATTGATCATCTGCCTGGACACGCTTGTACGTTTTAAGTTGTAAATCTTGCTTTACAATACGTCGAACCGAAGACCGTGGTATACCAAGTTTCTATTTCTATTTCCCGCGGACTTTTGTGACTGTGAGGATCATCATCTTGACTGCAGAGAAGCTCACTAACTCGTTCAATGTTCTGTTTTGTTCTAACAGTCTTTGGTCGACCACTTCCTGTTTTACGTTCCTTTGAACCGTCGTTGTCAATTTTATTGCTAACCCGACTGACACTTGCTATGCTCCAGGCTTTGTTTGGAAACTCGTTTCTCATCTTCCTAGCACCCCACTGTTTTTCAATTCACAAATGTTTAATCAGAATACGGTCTTCTGCAGTGATTTTTGTCATTCTGGGCAAAAAAATGTAAACAAGCAGACGACGTAAACAATTGGCAGATTAAAAATTAAAAATGGCGACCGGAAATAGTCGAAATATGTAAGTAAGTAAACTAATAAACTATTTAAGCACTAATGGGTATAGTTAAACTAAATTTGATGTGATTAAATCACATTTTACGAGATGTTCTCACTTTTATTGGCCCACCCTGTATATAAATAACAGTGATAATTTGTTTCTAAAATCTTTCGTAAACTTAAGTTGTACTGTGAGTACTGAACAGTTTTTTGAGAGAATGGCCAATCGGAATGCCATGATGTTTTTACTAATATCTTAATTAGATTGGCCAGACACTACGCCCGGATGTTCTATCGATAGCTTTCAGCCTTTAATTGACAAACCCTATTGATCAAATATTCAATTAAATGTTATTTTAAGCTTATTAATAATTATAGGACAGTAATCACGCACCCAGCAAGGTGCTCAGCAAACGTAATTAAAAGAACAAGGTATATTTACAAGTCAAGAAAAGTTATAAAAGGCGTATCCACTTTCTATTATAGTAAACGTATACACCCCACGATTATTTGCAGACTTCTTCGCCCCTGGTTCAGTATCTGAACTGACCAGACAGTGAGATAAGAAACACACCAATAAAAACAGAAGTTCAGAGCCGCCCCGCTATCTCTGTGGTCTGGATTTCACAATGGCGGCCAGGCTTTTCTTGTTGCTTAGTCTAGGCGTCTTACTGGATCTTCATTCAACCCACGGGGCCGTCTCTTGGGGAATAGGTAACGTCATTAATATATAATCTGCATTCAACTCACTGTTGCGTATCATTTGAAATAGGTAACGCTATCTATTATCTTCATTTAACTCACGGAGCCATTGCAGGGGGAATAGGGAACGACATCTTCTATCAAGGCCTGTGCAGCGTTTGGCTTTTAAAGTGTTATGTAAACGTAGTAAGCTAGTAGTCAAAAACAGGAAGGTGGTGTCATATAAGATGGTATAACATAAGGTGGTGTATTATAAGATGGTATAACATAAGGTGGTGTAATATATGATGGTGTAACATAAGGTGGTGTAATATAAGATGGTGTAACATAAGGTGGTGTAATATAAGATGGTATAACATAAGGTTATGTAATATAAGATGGTGTAACATGAGGTGGTGTAATATAAGATTGTGTAACATAAGGTGGTGTAATATAAGATGGTATAACATAAGGTAGTGTTATATGAGATGGTATAATATAAGTTGGTGTCAAACATTTATTTAGTAAGTAACTAACGAGAATATCCTCCAATATGCCCCCGCCTCCTCCCCCCCCCCCCGCGCTTTCCCGATTGGACATTTTTACCAGGAATTACAAAAACACTGTGACAAAAATGTCTTTCTGACCCGATATTGTCTAACGTTTAACAAAATAAACTATGATGTCGTTAAGGTGAATGTCCCAACGGAGCAAAGCCTGGTGACTCCTGGTACATAGAGGGCCAGTGTGGGAAGTGTGACTGCCGTGAGGGATCCTACTCATGTTACAGGTAACCAGGTATATGAGACACACACAGTGTGTGTGAATAAAACATGAAGGTATGCCCTTTTATGCTCCTGAGGTATGTACATGGCAAACCAGAATTATGCACATGGCCATCCAGCGTTATGTACATGACCATCTAGAGTTATGTACATGTCCATCCACAGTTATGTACATGGTCATCCAGAGTTATGTACATGACCATCCAGAGTTATGTACATGGTCATCAAGATTTATTTACATGTCCATCCACAGTTATGTACATGGTCATCCAGAGTTATGCATAAGTCCATTCAGAATTATGTACATGGTCAACCAGAAATATGTACATAGTTATCTAAAGTTACATATGTCCATCCAAAGGTATGTACATGGCAATCCAGAGTTATGTACATGGTCATCTAGAGTTATTTACATGGCCATACAGAGCTATGTACGTGGTCATCCAGAGTTATGTACATGGCCATACAGAGCTATGTACGTGGTCATCCAGAGTTTTGTACATTGCCATCCAGAGTTATGTATAAGTTCATCCAGAGTATGTACATCGCCATCCAGAATTATGTACATGGCCATCCAGTTATGTACATGGTCAACCAGAAATATGTACATGGTCAGCCAGAAATATGTACATGGTTATCTAGAGTTATGTATATGGCCACAAAATTATTCTTCATTGATAAGTGACGCTTAATTTATCAGGAATTCTTAAATGACCTTTAACACTAGGCTTGATATGGTCCCACGTCATCAGTTTATGTCATCTTGGTTTCAATATCTTAGATTTAATTTTTCCTCGTCATTGTTTGAACACCTCATACTTTATTCCCAGCTGTGGTGCGTACGCCATAGACTTTGACGTCAACATGTGCTACCATTACCGTGACAGCACCAAGCAGTACCCGGAATGCTGTAACCCTATCGTCAGGTGCCGCGGTGACGTGGGTTTCAACGAAACACTGTTTCAACAGTTTGGTGGTGTCACAAATTAGTGTGTCCCCGGCAAACCAACAATGGACTCGCCCAGATTAGCCATAGCAGACAAAAAATTGGACTCGTCCAGTTAATAAACTGTTACTTATTCCCAGCAATGAAACAATCAACTCGTCCAGTTTCTGTTATTTTCCCCATTAATGAAATGTCCGTGAATTAGTCAGAATGACAATGAATATCAATGTGTGTTTGTGTGATTACGTATGTGTTGGAGTTACTTATGGACTCCATAGTCGGCTCGGAGTAGGTATTTCATGGCCTTTAAGACAACTGCCCATGATTTGTGAGGATATGATATTGTTCACAGTGACCTAGCCAAGCCACTCAGAGGTGAGCCAGTGTGTTTGACCAGTTATGCTTTCATGACCTAGCCATGCCAAGCAGAGGTGAGCCAGTGTGTTAGACCAGTTATGCTTTCATTGACCTTGCAATGTCACTCAGAGGTGAGCCAGTGTGTTAGACCAGTAATGCTTACATTGACCTAGCCATGCCACTCAGAGGTGAGCCAAGATGTTTGACCAGTATTGCTTACATAAGGCTCATATCAATCGTAAGCTTAAATAGGCACGTTTTCCATGGGCTCCAACTTAGAGGGAAGGTTAAGGCTTATTAAGAGCTACTTAGTCCACGAGTACCTGGAATACTTCACCTGTCCACACGCAACATCTGAAGGAACGAGTCGAAACCAGCACATGTAGAGAAATAATAGTTACTAAATAATTTAGCTCAAAACTTTGTCCCTGGCATTGACAAGTTAAATATGCGCATCTGACCACTGGTATAACAGCTATGTGGCCACTGGTATACCAGCTATGTGGCCACTGGTATAACGGTTATGTGGCCGATGGTATAACGGCTATGTGGCCACTGGTGTAACGGCTATGTGGCCACTGGTGTAACAGCTATGTGGCCACTGGTATAACAGCTATGTGGCCACTCGTATAACAGATATGTGACCACTGGTAAAGCAGCAATGTGACCACTGGTTTAACAGCTAATTTAGTTGCACTGTTTTTGATCTGGTTTATGGGAGATCAGAAATGTGTATGTAATAAAGAATATAGCACTACATATCTGACAAAACTATTCAACTATTAAACAATTCTATTGTACAAGTATTCAAGCGTTCCACTATTTTAATAGTTAAACTAGTCAAGTATTCATCTATTCAACTATTCAATAATTCAACTATCCACTATTCAACTATTTAACTATTCAACTATTCAACAATTTGATTATTCAACTGTAACTATTACCCTATTCAACTATTTAACTATTAAACTATTTGATTATTCAACTATTCAACTATTCAATTATTCAACTATTTAACTATTCAACTATACAAGTATTCCACTATTTAATCATTCAACTATTCAATTATTCAACTATTCAATTATTTAACTATTCAATTATTCAACACAAGTATTCAACTATTCGACTATTCCAGTATTCAGATTTTCAACTATTCAAGTATTTTACTATTCAACTATTCAATTATTCAACTATTCAAGGAAATAAAATGGATAATGTACAAGCATACAAGAATAAAATCCCTCTTCCCTGGGTAGCTCAACTATCAGGCTGTTCAAATATTCAAGTGTTCAACTTAAGTACATACCATCGTACAGTCATCGAGGATATTGAAAAAAAAAAGTTCTTTGAACAATCGCCACGACGCATCAATATTATACATTTCAGCATTTTCCATTGTACTTTTAAATGGAGGGTTTGCATTCTAATAATCTGATAATCTTGTGTAATCATCTTATTTTCTTCTTGTTGACCACAAGCGGTGACTATTCATGTCTAGGGTGTTAATCAAACGTGACAGTTCTAATCCATCGTTACTCTGAACGGATGAACAAATATGTGAGCTGTGAGATCGAAGGCGATTAAGGGGTGTAATTTATCTTTACATCAAACAGCGTGACGTAACGCATTTCGATTGGTTTAGACTTACATGCCGTGTGCCACACATCTCAGTTAGACTTACATGCTGTTTACCACACATCTCAGTTAGACATACATGCTGTTTGCCACACATCTCAGTTAGACATACATGCTGTTTGCCACACATCTCAGTTAGACTTACATGCTGTTTGCCACACATCTCAGTTAGACTTACATGCTGTGTGCCACACATCTCAGTTAGATTAACATGCCTTGTGCCACACATCTCAGTTATACTTACATGCTGTGTGCCACACATCTCAGTTAGACTTACATGCCGTGTGCCACACATGTCAGTTAGACTTACATGCTGTTTGCCACACATCTCAGTTAGACTTACATGCTGTGTGCCACACATCTCAGTTAGACTTACATGCTGTTTGCCACACATCTCAGTTAGACTTACATGCTGTGTGCCACACATCTCAGTTAGACTTACATGCCGTGTGCCACACATCTCAGTTAGACTTACATGCTGTTTGCCACACATCTCAGTTAGACTTACATGCTGTTTGCCACACATCTCAGTTAGACTTACATGCTGTTTGCCACACATCTCAGTTAGACTTTAATGCTGTGTGCCACACATCTCAGTTAGATTAACATGCCTTGTGCCACACATCTCAGTTATACTTACATGCCGTGTGCCACACATCTCAGTTAGACTTACATGCTGTGTGCCACACATCTCTTTTAGACGTACATGCTGTTTGCCACACATCTCAGTTAGACTTACATGCTGTTTGCCACACATCTCAGTTAGACTTACATGCTGTTTGCCACACATCTCAGTTAGACTTACATGCTGTTTGCCACACATCTCTGTTAGACTTACATGCTGTGTGCAACACATCTCAGTTAGACTAACATGCTGTGTGCAACACATCTCAGTTAGACTTACATGCCCTGTGCCACACATCTTAGTTAGACATACATGGTGTTTGCCACACATCTCAGTAAAACTTACATGCTGTCTGCCACACATCTCAGTTAGACTTACATGTTGTGTGCCACACATCTCAGTTAGACTAACATGCTCTGTGCCACACATCTCAGTTGAACTTACAAGCTCTGTGCCACACATCTCAGTTAGACTTACATGCTGTGTGCCACACATCTCAGTTGGATTTACATGCTGTGTGCCACACATCTCAGTTGGATTTACATGCTGTGTGCCACGCATTCCAGTTAGACTTTCATGCTCTGTGCCACACATTTCAGCAGCTGGACAACAGATAGATTAACTTAAACTTATTCACAACTACATAGCTTTATGTTTGGAATGTGATGTTTTGTACAACTGCATTGTGATATGTTTGGAATGTGATGTCTTTTACAACTACATAGTAGTATATTTGGAATCTAATGTCTTGTACAAATGTAAGGCAGTTATTTACAGACAGATGTAGAAAATCACAAAGAGACTGACGTTCGGACAGATGAACTGTCAGACAGACAGACGGACAGACGTACAGACGAACGGACGGATACAGTAATATATGGATATATATATATATATATATATATATATATATATATATATATATATATATATATATATATATATATAACATATATATATATAGGGGAAATAATGTGGAGAGA